CTCCCTCGCGCATGCGCCACGCGCCACGCCGACGCCAGAGGGCGCGCCAGAGCAGCACACTCGCCTCGGAGAGAGGGAGGGAGGGAGGAAGAGGGGTCGGTGATAGTATGATAGCTGGGTCCGGAAGCTCCGAGGGTTACGCACATTCCGCAAGGGCGGTGGAGAATAAGGGAAGGGGAGGGCGGGATAGAAAGGAGGGCATTAGGGTTAGGATAAGGTATAGGGTAGGGTTTGGGTAGGGGCGGCTCGTCCATTATGCGAAGTAAGCGGTCGCAGAACACTTTTTTTTTTGCCAGGGGCGCAGAGGCACCTCTGTAAATGCCCCTCGACCGCCACTTGAGGAGCCCCCTCAGCTCACAACAGCCCTAGCAGTCCGGGGGGAGCCTCGGCTTTCTTGCCTCACTGCCGGGCGATCCTCTTCCCAAGGGGGCCGGGCCCTTGAGTCTCGCCTAGCCCCTCTCGTTCCTGCTCCACCCGGCCACCAGTTCGGGAGGGTTGAAAATTTGGGGGGGGGGTGTTGAATTTTTGGGGGGGGGGGGGGTTTGAAACCTGCCTCCTAGCTTACGCTGAAGCAAAGAGCACAGCAGGGGCAGAGCAGCCTTCAATAGCCTGCAGCTCCACCCCTGTCAACCACCTCCACCAAGTCTGGCCTCCTTAATGAGAGCATTCAACAACACACCCAACTTGGTTGCTTCACTACATCGGCTATTGCTGCAAGTAATGACAGTGTGAATAAATTGTCAATATTTGCTTGAGATAGTGCTTGCAGTTCTGGAGGGACTCTTAATTTTTTGCATCTCATAGACTTAGCATGGGGATTTGGTTAACCAGTTAAAATTCATGAGTAAACCAGGTTTTTTAAAAATCTGAAACATTTCGGGGGGGGTTGAACCCCTAAAACCACCCCCTCGCTACAGGGGCTTGCCTCTCATTCCTGCTCCACCCGGCTACCGGGTTGCGCGAGCAGAGCCGGCGCTCAATCATTCTCCGCGTTCGATCCCTTCCCCATGACCGGCTCCCTTTCCCAATCCCCCAGCGCTCCACCTGCCTCCTCTCCTCTCCCCAATCCGCAGGTGGAGCCGCCCGCGCCTGGCCCGCTTCGGGTCCGGAGGCATGTCTGAAGACCCCAGCGTGCGCACCAAAAGTCGCCTCTTCTCCTGACTTTCTCTTCAGCCATTGGGACCAAGAGAGAGAGAGAGAGAGAGACCCTCCGGCTGGAGGTATCTCCCACCTCCGCTCCCTCCTTTGTTTTTGTGCCTACCTTCAGGAAAGGTGGGCATCTCCACCTCTCTCTCTCTCTCTTGGTCCCAATGGCTGAGGAGAAAGTCAGGAGAAGAGGTGACTTTTGGTGCACACACCGGGGTCTTCAGGCACGCCTCCGGACAAGGCAAGGGAGCAAGTGGGATGTATAGTTCACTTACAATCAAAGAGCATTCTGAACTCCACCAATGATGGAATTGAACCAAATATGGCACACAGAACTCCCACGATGAACAGAAAATATATATCAATGATTGGTTGGGGGAGGGGGGGCGCCAAAATACTGTTTGCTTACCGTTGAAAATTACCTAGGGCTGCCTCTGGGTTTGGGTTAGGGTTAGGGTTAGGCTTACGGTTAGGGTTAGGATTAGGGAAGAAGAAGAAGAGGAGGAGGAGGAGGAGGAGAAGGAGGGGAGAGGAGAAGAGAAGAAGAGGAGGAGGAGGAGAGAGAAAAAGAGGGGGGAGGAGGGGAAAGAAGAAGAGGAAGAAGAAGAAGGGGGGGAGGCAGCGGTGGCAGCAGCAGAGGCTACATGGCCATCTGTCGAGAGGGATCAGATGGTGTATTACTGTCTGGCAGAATGACTGGGTGAGCCTTGGTGCCTCTTCCATTTCTAGGATGCTATGGTTCTAAGAAGAAGAAGAGGAGGAGGAGGAGGAAGCAGTAGCAGCAGCAGAGGCTACATGGCCATCTGTCAAAAGGGATCAGATGTGTATTCCTGCCTGGCAGAATGACTGGGTGACTGTTGGTGCCTCTTCCACCTCTAGAATACTATGGTTCTAAGAAGAAGAGGAGGAGGAGGAGGAAGCAGCAGCAGCAGCAGAGGCTACATGGCCATCTGTCGAGAGGGATCAGATGTGTATTCCTGCCTGGCAGAATGACTGGGTGACCGTTGGTGCCTCTTCCACCTCTAGAATATATGGTTCTAAGAAGAGGAAGAGGAAGAAGAAGAGGAAGAAGTTTATTTTTCTGCCCCGCCTCCATTTCCCCGAAGGGACTCGGCCCGGCTTACATGGGGCCCAAGCCCTGGCAGAATACAATTAAAATAAAGCAATAACAATTAAAATAGCATAAAACAACATAACAAAAATAGGTAGCAACAACAATAACAGAAGACTAATTTTGGACTGGGGGAGGAAAACCACTATGTGAACTAGTGAAAAGATAAGGTGGTTTAGTAAGGTAGATGACAATGTATAAGGGTTTAGGGTTTATATTTATTTATTTATTTATTTATTTACGACATATATATGCTGCCCTTGCGGGGTTGACAAAATAAAGTCCGACTGCTACATAAAACAAGGTTTCCAAATCAAAGAAGTGTTCTGGGACATTTTTTTAAAAAACTGATACAAAATGCATAACCAAATTATACGAAAAATTATTAGAATGGTCAACGGAGTCCGAATTAATAAAAGGATGTATGGTAAAATGGGCAGAAAATTTGAAAAGACCAATAACAATGTGTGACTGGGAAATAATGTGGAAGAAAAAACTTAAGTACACCTATGCAATGGACTTAAAGGAAAACTGGATGAAAATGTTTCATAGGTGGTATATGACTCCAGTAAAATTAAATCGTATGTATAAGAATGTATCGAAAGCTTGCTGGAAATGTAATGAACATGAGGGCACTTTCTTTCACTTATGGTGGAGCTGTAGAGAAACTCAAAAATATTGGAAAATCATTCATGAAGAAATGCAAACAGTATTCAAAAAGAATTTCCCAAGAAAGGCGGAATATTATTTGTTGGGAATTGTAGATGATGATATTAAATTGGACTCTAATGAGGACATTTTGTTTACGTATTTGACAACGGCTGCCAGAATTGTCTTCGCTAAAATGTGGAAACAGAAAGAAATACCAGAAAAACTCCACTGGATAAATAAAATAAACGAAATAAAAGACATGGATATGTTAACTTTTTTTACTAAAGAAGAATATAGGTAATATAATTAAAGAGACAAATTGGTCAATTGTTGAAGAGTATACAGAAACAATACACAAATCTATATAATTGACCTGAGGACATTTGGATGTTATGATATGGATTTTACTCATATACAAAATGAAAGTTATTGACGAGCTGAATCAGAAGGGAGTCCTTTTTGAATTTTTTATTTTATTTTTGACTTTTGATTTTTTGATCTTGGATCTTTGTCCTTTTTTTTTTCCTTTACCCACGGGTGTTATGGTTGTGGTATTTTCCTACTTTTCTATCTTCTTATATTATTCCCCCACTTTTGTTGTAACTATATAAAACTCAATAAAAATTTATATATATAAAAAAAGAAGTCCGACTGCTCATTGAAGGGAAGGATAGTAGAGGCCAAGATGAAGTACTTTGGCCACATCATGAGAAGACAGGAAAGCTTAGAGAAGACAATGATGCTGGGGAAAATGGAAGGAAAAAGGAAGAGGGGCCAACCAAGGGCAAGATGGATGGATGGCATCCTTGAAGTGACTGGCTTGACTCTGAAGGAGCTGGGGGAGGTGACAGCTGACAGGGAGCTCTGATGTTGGCTGGTCCATGAGGTCATGAAGAGTCGGAAACGACTGAACAAATGCACAACAAAGTATGATAGCAGGGTCTGGAAGCCCCGGGCGTTACGCACATTCCACAAGGGCGGTTGTGAATAAGGGAAGGGGAGGGCAGCACATTTGGTGGAAGGATAGAAAGGAGGGGAGGGTTAGGATAAAGTTTAGGGTAAGGTTTATGGGTGATAGTATGATAGCTGGGTCCAGAATCTCCAAGGGTAATGCACATTCCGCAAGGACGGTTGTGAATAAGGGAAGGGGAGGGCAGCACATTTGATGGAAGGATAGAAAGGAGGGAATTCGGGTTATGATAAGGTATAGGGTTTGGGTTAGGGTTAGAATTAGGCTTAGGGTTGGGGTAAGGTTTAGGTTTATTTATATTTGTTTATTTATTTACGACATTTATATAGAATCATAGAATCAAAGAGTTGGAAGAGACCTCATGGGCCATCCAGTCCAACCCCCTGCCAAGAAGCAGGAATATTGCATTCAAATCACCCCTGACAGATGGCCATCCAGCCTCTGTTTAAAAGCTTCCAAAGAAGGAGCCTCCACCACACTCCGGGGCAGAGAGTTCCACTGCTTAACGGCTCTCACAGGAAGTTCTTCCTCATGTTCAGATGGAATCTCCTTTCTTGTAGTTTGAAGCCATTGTTCCGCGTCCTAGTCTCCAGGAAGCAGAAAACAAGCTTGCTCCCTCCTCCCTGTGGCTTCCTCTCACATATTTATACATGGCTATCATATCTTCTCTCAGTCTTCTCTTCTTCAGGCTAAACATGCCCAGCTCCTTAAGCCACTCCTCATAGGGCTTGTTCTCCAGACCTTGATCATTTTAGTCGCCCTCCTCTGGACACATTCCAGCTTGTCAATATCTCTCTTGAATTGTGGTGCCCAGAATTGGACACAATATTCCAGGTGTGGTCTAACCAAAGCAGAATAGAGGGGTAGCATGACTTCCCTAGATCTAGACACTATGCTCCTATTGATGCAGGCCAAAATCCCGTTGGCTTTTTTTGCCGCCACATCACATTGTTGGCTCATGTTTAACCTGAAGGGGACTCAGAGCGGCTTACAAGTAAAAAGTAAATACAATATATTATTACCATAGCACAATATTAATATTATATTTTACATTGTACTATAACATTATACTGTAATATTATTAGTAATATTAAATTTAATATAAAATATATAATTATAATA